TGTAGTCTCAGTTACTCAGAAGGTGGAGATAGGAGGATTGCGTTTTGAGGCCAGCCTGGGCAAGAATAGGAGACCCAATCTGAAAAACTAAAACAAAAAGGGCTGGGGGTGTGGCTCAAGAGGCCCTGAGTTCAAACCCCAGTACTGCAACAAGAACAAAAAGTCCTGATACCTCATGTCTGTCACATTTAACAAGACAGCAGCATGGATCCAGAAAGTGTAAAGGAGGAAGAAAGAGGGCTGTGTGAGACCACTGACCTTGAACACAGTGAGCTTGTGCACTGACCCGAAAAACAAGATTCTTACCAGACCAACAGCCATTTTCCCAGTCCACTTTTGTGTGGAGAAAAAAGTTGAGTGGCCATTCCCTTTCTTCCCATGGGAGAAGTCTGAATGTGAGGAAGGAGATGTTCTTCCTCATACTAGCAGCGTTCCCTTGCAGTTTGAGTGCCCACTTGGGATTGGTTATAATTAGTTCACAGTGACACCAGTCTGCCTGTTGGGTGAAACATTCAGCTGTGTGCTAGACTCATCCAGACATAGTTTTCCCAGATGAATATGACAGAGGGAGAAGGGCTTGGGAATTGAGCTATTTCTAGAAAGGAATTACAGTGATGTCTCTTAGCCCCTAAGCTATGGAAGAAGACAAAGACAGATAAGAATTAATGGATAGAAAGTGATAGAGTTAGTGGGTTACATTACTTCTTTTTTTTTTTTTGTCAGTACTAGGGTTTGAACTCAGGGCTTACACCTTCAGCCACTCCACCAGCCCTTTTTTCGTGATGCGTTTTTTTGAGATAGGGTCTCAAAACCTATTTGCCCAGGCTGGCTTCGAACTTCAATCCTCTTGATCGAAGCTACTCTGCCTGCTGAGTAGCTAGGATTACAGGCCTGAGCCACTAGTGCTCTGCTTCAGTGGATTACAAATGTTGATGAAATTAAAGAATTATTAGAGTAAAATGTGCTAGCCAGCAGTGAGATTTTAATTGAAATCTCAATCAAAATTGGATAAATTTCCAGTTTTGGAGGGAGGGAATGTTTCTGCTGATGAAAAAGAAGTGGGCAAGAGAGGAGGAATGGAGGAGTAAGGTAAGTTCACTCAAGATGAGGAAGTCAAGAAACGTGACTTTGGACAGCTCATACAAGTGGTTGTTGAAATATGAAAGCGGAAAGACAGAAATTGAGATACAAAGAAAAACAAAGTGCAAAAATCTTAAGTACATGGAGAATGACCAAGAAGTTGGTACATGATAGAGCCAGGTGGCATAAGCTTCAGAGGGCAGGAGAGGTGTTGTAACAGCAGCAGTTGGAGGGAATAACTCTCTGGAAGGTGCACTGGGAAGAAGAAGCCAATTACTCCCAACCTACAGAGTGAGTGACACTGGAAGCAAGTATCAATTAATGCAAGGAGGGGGAGAAAGCCTTCTGAGAGGAAGCTGTTCCTCTGGAAATGGAGTAAGATGTGCTGTTGGTGAAGCCTTGAAAGTATAAAAGAACCATCAAGTTTCTTTTATACCAATACCAGGGGTTAGGGATATAGCTCAATGGTAGAGTGTATGCTTAGTTTGTGAGGCCTTTGGGTTCCATCCCAGCACAACAACAACAAAATGAAAATAGATCTGATCCCTGTTCTCCATAACTCACCTTCCCCAGCATACACTGTATCTAAGAGGTGCTGTATTCCCTTTGCCACTTTTGCCAAAGGCACCCTTAATTCCTCTGTAACACATGTGAGACTGGAATCCATTTTTTTATTTCTCTGTCCTTTTTTACTTCCCTTCTCTTCTTCTCTTCCCAATGTCCCTTTTCCTAATTTTTTTCTTTAAATTGTGTTCATTCAGTGACACTCTCAAAGCCCAGAAGGAAACTGATACAAAGTAACACGTGCAAGATATTGTCACCGATAAAGAATAATAATTCTTTGGCTCAAATTCTTTATGGAAGCACTCCATAGCTAACTCTTTTAGGGTGTGTTCCCTACCTCCTCATAATGCCTTCACGAACTTCCGGAGACCTGATGGAGGAAGCGCCAGAGAGAGATGGATGCTCCCTCATTTCATTACATCTGTAAAGTCTGCCTTTCAAGTTCAAGTTTTCCATCCAGAGGCCTGCTTCTTCTACCAAATGATTGACATCAGGGATGCCCAATTACTTTAGGGAAAACCATACTCGTAGGACAACTATAGCTGAATCTGAACGCCAACAGAATTCTAAACCTAATAACCAGACCCACGCAGAGATCCTGGAGGTTAAGTTACTATGTCAAAAATGACAGTGTCAGGCTGGGTTGTAACGCAGTGATAGAACACTTGCCTAGCATACATGAGACCCTGAGTTCAATCCCAGCACCAAAAAAAGAAGAGACAAAAAAAAAACAGTGTCGTATTAAAATCTTTTATTCCAACTAATTATTAATAAGGATTGTTTTATACAGTGTTTTACATACATTCTGCTATAGTTTTATTCTGTGGGGTGATTTGCCAACTGTATTCCAAATGTGTTTTCAAAATTAAATACACGGTACTAGAAAGCATGGTATTTCCAACAGTGTAAGACCTGCCTCTGTGTAATACACAAGCATTTCAACATTGAGTTTTCAACCACAAAAGGAATGTTTTTTAAAATTTATACTAGTGGTGAATTAAATGGGGGAGGGAAGTTATATAGACTGTTGTGAATAAATTAAAGCATTCAGTCTAATAACATAACCTTAATTAGGTTTCTCTTATGACACTGCACAGCTGCCTAAATTCATACATATAAAGATGTGTGGCAAAACAATAGCAAATCAATTATCTCTCAAAATTAAAGAAAAACAACAACTTAATTGAACCACATTATTCATAGCCTGCCAATGATGGTGGGAGATTTTTGCTATCAGTTTTTGTACAGTTCGGTAGTGCTCAAGGAAAAAAATGCTTTGTGGGGGAAGGAGAATGGCTGAGGGGGTAAATTCAAGCGTGGTACACTTGATGTATTGTAAGAACTTTTTGTAAATGCCACAATGTACCCCAGCACCACAATAAAAAAAGAAAAAATATTTTAATGGTCACTTGGGATTCTGTTAGGAATTTTGAGGAGAAATAGAGGACAAGTTATTTGTAGTATTGGGTCACTGAATGCAGCTGTGGCTTCAGTAATGAGGACAGTGCAGGTGTGTGAGAGGTGGAGCGTAGGAGAGTGCCAGACAACTCTCTAGCTCTCCGCAATGACCTTGGTGCCTCAAGCAAGTAGGCAGGTGTGCTTGGTATGTAGCATGGGCGACTTAGAAACTGACACAGTTTCTGGCTCATACAGCACGTAGCACTTTCCCTCTCCAATCTGATTATAATTAATCCAGTATGACATTTAAGGACATCTGTCATTTACCAGGCAATATGATTGTTAGATACATATGCATACCATTTTCGACTCTCAAGGAGCCTTAAATTAAGCAGGAGACATGCTAGCAAATCCAATCAGCGCATTATAAAATTTGATGTAATAATAATAGCAGCAGGTCAACATCCAATGAATTACAATAGAAAGAAGTGCCTAAGAGAGAGCAGGGAAAGCTTCTCAGATATGATTCTTGAGCTGACTATTGAAGAGAAATAGGAGTTTTCTAGACAGGAAAAGAGTAGAAGACATTCCAGGTAGAAAAAACATAAGAGCCAGGCGCTGGTGGCTCATGCCTGTAATCCTAGCTACTCAGGAGGTGGAGATCAGGAGGATCATGGTTCAAAGCCACCTCAGGCAAATAGTTCATGAGACCCTATCTCAAAAACACCCTTCACAAAAATAGGGCTGGTAGAGTGGCTCAAGATGTAGGCTCTGAATTCAAACCCCAGTACCAAAAAAAAAAAAAAAGTAAGGGCAAGAAACATAAAACAGTATGGTTTATGGTAAACAGTATGTTTACCTTGTCTCATGATTCAGCCGGGAAACATGGCACAATTGTGATTTTGCTGAAAAGAGTTTAAGAAAGTGACTATTTCCAGAGGTGTCAAGGTCAAGAGCAGCACCAAAATATGGTGAAGTGTTCAGGCTTAGCAACAGTGGTAAGCCATTATCCACCTGACTGGGGGGAAGAGGAAAAAGAATGGAATTATCAAAACCTGGTGACAGCCGTGGAGAGGAACTACTCAACAGGAACTTTGACTAAAAGGAGAGGAAGGTAATTTCTGTCAAACCACAGGCTGGCAGGGACTAAGGAAGGGATAGCTACCCTGACTTCTGTTTCCTCTAGTCTCCAGCCAGGAACCCTCATTGGCCGATCCCCACTGCAAGCCAGAGAGCCAGGGAATTTGGAAAGCTTTCTGTAAAAAACAGCTTCCTGAGACCTGGAGAAGAGTGGAGACTAGATTTTGAAGGACAAACAGAATTATTAGCACATCTCAGACTCATATCCCAGATCCAAACAACCTCCTGTTTCTTGAATGAGTATGGCACAGGACTACACCTGTAACTAATACTGGAACAAGTCTGCTGTCTTAGTCAGTACAAATATAGAATAGGGTTGTTAAACAGCAGAAATTTATCCCAGTTTTGGAGACTTGAGATGCTTTTGCTTTCATCAAAAGCATTGGTGGAGGGGGAGACACACAGCATTCAGTCCATAACACTGCTGTTGTTTTAGACTTACAGGAGGGGCTCCCTGAATTACATGACAAAGAAAGTCTTACGATCTGATTTGTTACGCAACTTCTATCCTTATCTAATTATTCTAGCAGATTCTTAAAAACAAAACAAGTACCTACAAGACACTGTAAGGTGGCATACCGTGTAATTGCTTATTTATCTACAAAGAACTACTTTCGCGTTCTGTCAGTGTTTGAAACGGGCATGGATGTTAGTCTCGTAGAATATTTTTGTTTATTTAAGACACTTCATGTTTGAGTTATAAATTCTAGTTAAATCATATTAAGGTACCTTCAAATTTGATTGTGGTGCTACATTATTTGAAGGACCAGAAAATAACATGTTGTCCTTACACATCCTTTTTTGTCTTTATTTTTCAGATCAATAACTCGATCTTATTACCGCAACTCAGTTGGTGGATTTTTAGTATTTGACATTACTAATCGACAATCTTTTGAACACGTGAAAGATTGGCTAGAAGAAGCAAAAATGCACGTACAGCCATTTCAGATTGTATTTCTACTGGTGGGACATAAATGTGATTTAGCTTCACAACGCCAGGTTACGAAGGAAGAAGCCGAAAAACTGTCAGCAGACTGTGGAATGAAGTATATAGAAACCTCAGCAAAAGATGCTACAAATGTGGAGGAATCCTTCACAATCTTGACAAGAGACATCTATGAACTGATTAAAAAGGGAGAGATTTGTATTCAGGATGGCTGGGAAGGGGTTAAAAGTGGTTTTGTTCCAAATACTGTTCATTCTTCTGAAGAGGCAGTAAAGCCCAGGAAAGAGTGCTTCTGCTGATTTCAAATATACCAAAGAACCAAGAAAAGCGACCTGAGTGTCATCTCTGAATAAATAGCAACATTAACGGCAGAATGATGCAATGAGAACATTTAAGGTTGTGGACCCGCACTGACACTGTTTTGTAAGCCATTTGATTCAGAGCACTCTGCTTACTTGCTGTCCTGCCAGATTGGGTTTTTTGCTAAATTATCAGGCAAAGCAGACAACTTTTCTTGAAACTCCAATAGCTGCATAATTACCTCCATTCTTACATTGCTAGCATATAGCTGACCTCAGTGTCCAGCTTATTCATTTTTCTGGGCTGGGGGTATGGCTCAAGTGGTAGAACATCTACCTAGCAAATGCAAGGCGCTGAGTTCAAACCCCAGTACTGCCATAAAAAAACAAAGATTACTCATTTTTCTTGACAGTTCAAAATAGATTTTTTTATACACATACAATCTAATTGGAAAGATTTTATCAGGAGTTACATTCTCTTGAGTTACTTAATATTGAATAGTAAAGTGCATTTAAAAGTACACTGTTCACTTGCACAGTAAACAAACTCAGAAGTATTGCCTAAGATTAAAAACATCAGTTGAAGATGCCAGGTTTAACCTTCTCAGAAATACTTACCCTTTGTTACTTTTGTCTGAACATAAGAAAATAAGTTTTATAATCATTTTTTGTTCACTGATTTATTGCTCTTGAAATTTTTATGTTTTATAAGAGATATAAGGAGTCAAAATATTTTAAGCAAATATTTGTAACAACAGAATAAGGAACGCTCAGTAGCAAATGTTTTGATGTTATACTGTCTGAATTTAGGCAAGGAAAATAAAATTTATTTATCTATTGACATTTTCAAAGAAAAAAATGCAATTTACCTTGAACTATTGTCAAAATTATCAATATAGATAAAGAATGTTTTTAGTAATAGCATTTTTTCCAAGTAAATTTCCAAACTTTTCCATTTCCAATATAAAAAGTATGGAAAAGATTTTTCTGGACAAGGAAAATGAGTTAGATGCTTGATGTATTTAGCATTCAAATTTCTATAATCTCATCAGTACAAGGGAAGATAGAACAACCATTTAAGGGAATAAAATGACTTTCAAGTCTCCTACTTTTTAACTCATTGATTGAACTCTCCTGAAAGGAACGTTTTGATCACAATGTCAAATGTTTTATAACATACATGTCTGTTCTGTTCTGTAAACTGTTCCTAATCACAAAGAGTACCCAATGAAACTGCTGTTTTGGAATCTTAAGATTTTTTACTGTTAAATGATAGTTACTTTGTTTGAAAACCAAAGTGGCATAGTATAAAGAACACTCAATGAGAAATCAGAAAACTTGGTTCTAAGCTTGTCTTTTCTCCACCAGTATTTGAACATAAGGAAGTCACTTGATCTCTTAAAGTATCACTTTCCCCATCTGTAAAATGAGGCTAGTAACCTCATTTATTGAGTTTCACAGAATTATTTTGAGAATCAAGTGAATCATGTTCAATACAGAAAGCATACAAATGTGAAGCTGATATCAGCTGCTCATAGGCACACCATGATATTTACAATGGATGAGAATTTTGTTTTCTTGTGTTCTTTCCTTTCGTTCCTGTGCAGAGGAAGCAACAGAAGATTCATGTTTTTGTGAACTGGGGGACTCTTGGTGGTTACTGTTCTCTGCCCTTTTACCCTGAACCACTATTTCTCAAAGCAGAAATGATAGCCAAAAAGTCCCTGGAGAATTAACCCAATCAAAAAGTCAAGTTTGAATGTGTTTTTTGTGCATCTTTGAAGTAGATATTTACTTGTATTTTCAAATACTTGTACATTTTCTAGGTTCATGTATTTTTAATAGTGCTTATGAAGAGAAGAATATAAATTATAGTATCACTATAAAAGTTTTGAATACTTATATTGTCAACACCTTTTTATATCCTTAGGCTAATTTCACATGAGTGAATTCAAACTGTAATTGACCAGATAAGAAAATTCTTGTCCCCCAAAATGTGAAGTAGTCTACTTTTACTGTCACAATTTTAAGTGTTCTATGACAATCTTCCACCAGTCCAAAATGGCATAGCCTCAAATTATGAATATCTAACAATAATTTGAAGTACAGTCCCTGTGCCTACTTGTAAAATGAAATAACTGAACTATAAAGTGTGATTTAATTTCAGTGGTCACCTCTTCATAATTCTAAATGCTGAGTGAAGACTAATGTTTGGGCTGAAGGTTATGTTCAACATTTTAGACGTAGTTAAGGAACAGAAGAAACGAATGTGAGGCAGAAAAAACTTGATACTTGCATGAGCAGAAGCAAAGCCTAGAGCTCGGATCTTCCTAGGCCTTGTTTACCGGTGCTCTGGAGTGTTTGTATGTGCACCGGTGCCTGCGGATGTCGCACAGCTGAAGGTTTGAAAGATAAGGGGACGTACTATCGGAGTGGACAAAATACCAAAATTCGGCTAAATCATTTTTATGTCA